ACTCTCCACCTTTATCTCCCTGCCTGCATTTCCACACCGTGGAATGACCCACTGGAGGTGTGCTGTGCACACCAGGTGAGAAGGTGGCCCAGAAGAGCTCACAGGCAGGACAGGGCAGGGATGGGGAGGCAAAGCAGGCCATTATTTGTTCTTCCAGTCCCCAGAGATGCACGTACCTGCCGTGCACTTTGGCTGACCTCAGCTTCCCATTTCCCACAGCAAAGCCTGTTCCCAGCTTCTCTGGGAAGGACATCTGTGGGGACGGTTCCTGTTTCCCTGCCCTTTCAGCCACTTGTCTTCCTGAGCCTGATATGATTGTTTCTTTGGGCACAGTGTAAAAGATGCCAGCAAGTAACGGAAGCCTCTCATGCCTCAGCAATTTATTGAGAAGAAAAGGAGGTTATTGAACTTGGAAGCTGTTGAGCCAGTCGTTCTCTTTTCCTGATCAAGAAGATAACCTGTCCATAGATAAATCATCCATCCAAAGGTCTTCAGCATTCACTGAGACAACCTGGCCTCAAACTAGTAAACAGCCAGGTGAAGGGAGTCAGGGATTATTTATGTACAGACCTGCCAGAAAACATAGGTCATGGGGTGGAAGGGCTTCTCCAGTTTGGAGAGGCCTGTGTTGGTTTTTTTGTTCATTATTTCCAGCAAACTTCAATTCCCTGCAGTACTGTTACTGTTCAGTGAATATGATACTCTTAAGATCAATATGGTTTAAAGCATTTCAAAATCCTTTTAAAAAAAGCATTAAGAGTCTTTGGGGGTTCTCTGTCAGACCTGGCAGAACTTTCAGCAGCCACTTCTGTGGCAAGTTCCACCTTGGCGTAGCAACTCATGAATAGTCTTCCACTTGCCCTGTGCTACAAGGCCCCATTCTTGTCTGATGGTTAAATACCACCAAAATGAAGGCAGCTATTATTATAGGTAATTTCTCAGAAAAATACAGGCATGTATTTTAATGGCCTGCATCTCTCTAGTCCCTGAAGCTCTGAAGTGAGGACATGAGCTCTAATATTTCTGTTTCCACCCCTGCTTTGGCCCGGTGTGCAGCAGGTTTGGTGGGTTTCTACTCCCCCTGACCAGCGCTGGGTTGATGCAGTGGCAGCCCTGGCTTTGTCTTTCAAAAAAAGGGTGCCCTCTTTTACAGAAGGACAGTACAGAAGTCAAGTCCATTCCAACACATCCTCCTTAGCCATACACAACTGTGGCATTCCTTTCTATTTTATATTCAACAAGGCTTCGCCTGCCCAGGGGACCACAGCTGTAAGACATTGGAAAAGATGTTGGGATGGTTTGTACAACTGAAGTTTTACTTACTGGCTTGTTTGTAACTTGGAATCGTAATTTCCTGGTTATCAATATTCAATCCTTGTGAGTCAGTGTTCCAGCAACTGGATTGATGATTTGGGTCTGCAGTGGATAACCAAGCAACACTGGAATATGGCAGCACTGGTTATTTGAGCACTCACCAAGGGAAAAAACAAACACCAGTTATTGCTTAATTTAACACACAGTGACGTTGCTGACTCAAAAACAGCCTTGGAGATTTTTAAATGTTCTAAACGGCTTCCTCATTTTCCAAATCTTAAATCCAAAAAGAACAAAACCTGTGTTTTACCTTCTCTGGATGGGTAAACTGGTGGCAGAAATGAGAGGCTGGTAGCAGGTTTATTGATCCCCACCCAACTCCACTGTTACATGAAAGCAGAAGGAGGTCCAAACTGGTAATGCTTTGAAAGGCATAATGCTTTAAAAAGTCTTGTTTCCCAGCCTTGAGTAGAATTCTGAGCAAAATCAACATAAATAAAGGATTTAAATAAGAAAATATAAATAATCATTGAGAACTGCTTAAAAATTGTTTACTAGGAACCAAAAATACACAACTCCCCAGTAAAGAAAGAATAGTACAATTGAAAAAAAAAAACCAACCAAATTAAAAATTGAAATGGGGGTGGCTGAAGCAAGTAAAACACATTTAACAAATAGTAAGAGAGATGCTGAATATAAATTAGGAGATAGAAATTATAAAAAAGATACGATGGAAGTGAAAAGGGAAAAAAAAACCTGACAAAGCTATTTTTTTAAAAAGTGAAGTAAGGACAAAATTAGTCCTAATCATGGCATTGATCTGTTATAGGATAGAAATCTTAGATTATTCAATAATAATACAGACAACAAAAAAATAAATCAATAAATACTTCCATCCTACTACTGGGGAAAAAAGGTTGATAGAGACTTTGTTGGTGACATATCTATTCTTGTTGTACCTCAGAGGAGTTAAATACCACCTACCAAAATCAGGCATTTTAGATCAGCAGGACTGGATACCTTGCACTAAAACTTGGTTTATTAAATAAGCTGCACATGATATGTCTGCACTATTCATGTTGATCTGCTGTACTTCTTGGTGCAATGAGGAAGTCCTGGCGGAGAAGAAGAAAACTCATAGTCTGGCCTTTTTTATAAAGACTATGTAGAAGGGCATAATTACTTTATAATTATCTCCTAACTGTAATTACTCACAGGTAACTACAGACCTGTGATAGGATCTCAGACTTCAACTAAGTAATTAGGTGGCTATCACAGAACACAGGGAATAAAAGGAGGGAAATATAACTAGGGACAATCAGTGTGGGTTTATAGAAAATTCACCCCACTGAACAGTGTTAAAACTTTTCTCTGAGGAAATTTAACCATTGTTAAATAAAACAAAGCTGGTACAATACATATACTTGAGATCCTGGAAGGCAGTTTCCCTTCCAGGAAGGCATTGCAGTTACATGGCATTATGATTAAGAAATTGCTTGACATAAAAATAAGATAGCAGCCATTAAACAGACTATAAATGACCTATCAGTCTGGTTCCAAAACACAATTGAGAACTAGAAGTGACTGGTTTTTTTTATAGCATGTTTGTGCCAAGATCCTGGAGGGTGTTTGGCACCTTAAGAGTGACAGGTAGAGACATCAGTCCTGCCTGGTTTATTCTCCAGTTTTCATGAAAGCCCTCCTCTACTGTCAAGAGCTCCCTATTACGTGCTCTCCGTGACCCACGAATCATCAAATTAGAAAAAGAGTGCTTATTTTCTGGTTCAAAAGCCAGCTTACCTTAACGACCACCTGCCAGCTTGAACAAAGAAGGTAAGAAAGTACCCCCCCAGAACTGTCTTCTCACCTTGTACATATCATATGAGATCTTAGATCTACACATGGGCTGCTAGTACGCGATTTGAAGGACTTAAATCTGCCCATTTCTAGTCCAGCTGCCAAAAATGATTTATGATCTGTGAGGTGGCCCAGAAAGCAGTGTCACGAGTGGCAATGTACTGCATCATCCTGAGGATTCTTGCTCGTGCATTTCAAAAGCTGGTCCCATCTATGAGCAATGTCTCATCCCTCGAGTCCTGGAAAGATAGTGCCTATCTTTGCTGTCCGTATAAGGGAAGAGGTTTGAAGGACACAGGCAAGACCATGAGAAGAAATGTGAAGTGAGAAGGCTAGAATGAGAATAGCAAAGAACATTCAGGAGAAAACAAAGGAATAAACTGCCAGAGCACAGTCCACGTGCCCAAGGACAGCCCACAGACGAACACACATCCTGCCTCCTTTGAGCTTAACACAGGTGGTGAAACTACCAAGACTTATGAACAACCATCCACCAACCACGTACTTGAAAAAGACACCCAAAAAATAGAGAGACTCCTGAAAATTCTATTTGTTGCATACATGGTCATGCCTGCCAAAAGCCATGTCACTGTTCTACAAGTAGATTTTAATTCAGCTGGAAACAGACACTTGCATGAACAGGTCTCCCTGACACCAAAGACTTTAGTCCCTGGTGAATCTTAGATATGAAAGGTTGGAACCATTCCATTTCCTGCAAACAAGTCCAGTGCTGTTGCTCTACCTTTGAATGTATTGCCTATCCTGCCAAAGCATGGAAAACCTGGAACTGCCTTAGAAACATCTGTCCTGGGAAAATGAAAGGCTGCCTAGGAATGAAGGGAAGGTTCTTTATTTCTTCTTTTCAAGAAAGGATGCCTGGGCTTGCCTGGGCAGAAAGGTCTTATTCATGGAACAACAGAACAAAATAAATAATGTAGGTTTTCTGATAGTGCAGGGAATAGGACAGGCCCAGGCTGAGACTTCTAGAGGCAGCATTTAACCTGGACTGTGTGCCTTAGAGAGAAGACTCTAAGACTACCACGGGAGGAGGTCTGTGAAACTGCCAAGAGCTTCTGATGCTCCAGGCCCGACTTTTCCTTTTAGACAAGGTATTTAGCAAAAGTAAAGATGGTTGTAGGCAGACCATGCATCCCTGACCCATGGAAAACACTTCTTGGGAATGATTTTTATCCGGGCAGCAAGGCCTTAATGCAACAGGAACCGAGAGTTCTTTTTGACTCATTAACTCAGCTGTTTTGCACAGCAATAAACCCTAGATAAGGAAGTAGCCAAGAGCAGCTCAGACTGCCAGAGAGGGGTGGGGTAGAGCAGAGGTCGCTGCTTTGGTTCCTGACAAAACCTCTCGCTTACTCCTCACAACTAGAGACCCACCTCAGTGGCACAGGTCACCCATGAGCACAGGCAGTGCTGGTACCAGTGGAAACAAACCCAGGGAATGTGGTCATGGCATATTTCTGGCAAGAGCCATCAAAGCCAAGAGCTATGAGGACTGGAAGGTCTCCTGGGGCCCGAGTGTGCAAGCGCGGCCACCCCGACCATGTGCTGGCTTGCAGTGATAACATTGTGTGCTGAGGTTGGCACACAATCCAGGTGAAGTCACAAGAGGAAAAGCTTCCCACCCGGCACAGCCTCAGCAGCCACATCCACAGATCCTCGCCTGCTTGCCCTCCCTCACCACGCTCCACCCAGCCAGCCCTCCTGGCCACAGGGGACACGCTGCCCTGCCTGGCTTTCTTCCACTGTGCCGGGGCAGGGCTGGCTCACAAGTGGCCATTGTGTTTCCTAGGAAGTGCTGTTACAGCAAGTACCTGGTCACTCTGGCTGTGTGCAAAGGCTCAGAGCCTCTGCCGGTACCTCTTGACGTCCCAGCCTCCATCTGCACCAGCGCTCATCCTTCCAGGGCTGTTCTCAGGATGTTTCATTGCGCCTCAGATTCTTCCACGTGGACAGTCTCGGCCTCTGTCAAACTTTAAGTCTGTGGGGAATAAGGTAAGAAATGAAGCAAAACCCCAGCATCAACGGAATATAGCTTTTCCACAAAAAAAAAAAAAAAAAAAGTTCCTTGAGGTAGCAGAAAGAAAAACACTTTCTAGTTTAGTTCAGAAATATAGGGGAGTAACTGTTCAAGGTTTAAAGTTTGAAATAGATGAAAAAGCCATAGGTGATGGTATGTACAACGAATGTCTTGCCTTGGCCAGAGGAGAATTAAAGCATGATAAATTATGATTTACTATCTCTTATCTCTGAGCACCTCAGTGGACAACTAATGAAGCCTCATTTACTTGGGGATATCACTGCAGCACAATCCAACAAAAAGGTGAACCAAACACTCTGAGCTCAGGTGAGAGCACTGCATCTAGCCCATGCCCTCTTCTCACAGCAAAGATTGTGCCTGGTTGGTCCTGCCAGGGAAAATCTTGATTCTCCCACCCTGTGCAATTCTCAGCCTCATAGTTACCAAAAGCTATGAGCCAACATTTGACTGTAATGCCAGAAAGAACTGGCCTGATCATCTAGACCCACATCTTTGAAAACCTGAGTCAGAAGACTTGGCAGAAATCCTTCCCATCTCTACAAGGGTCCACTTTCTGACAAGAATCCAGCCACAACTTAAAAGCCTCCTGTGGAGGATCCTCCAAAACCCTCACTGAGTTTTTCCAGTGGTTAGTTACAGATTATGTTAAAAAATAATGCTTTTCCTCATATAATTGTTTGGGTTTTTTACCCAGTTTCACATTCCAGCTTTTGGATCTTAGTGCCCTCCAGCTAGACCACAGAAAGTTTGTTCCCCATGTAAGCATACCTAGACACAGAAAAAAGTTAGCCTTCAGCTTTCCCTTTTCACTCTAGCTCTTCAACCTCTTTCACTGGAAGGCACATTTCCAATTCTTTAATACCCTCAGGCATTTTCCCTGGAACCTCTTCCATCCAGGAATCACCAACAAAAGCACTAAATAAAGTACATGGGAAATGACTGTCTTAGTACTAAGTGACACACACACTCTGCCCTTCCCAGAGCTATTCAGTTTAAACTTATTTACTGAAAGCTGCGTGAGCTCCCTCAGCTACAGCATCATCCTGGAATTTTGTACAGTCAGCCAGTGAGCTGTACCAGCCCCCACTTTTTCCCATCACTGCTTCCTGAGAAAAACTTGCCAGCTGATAAGCACAGCCTGTATTCCTTATTCTTTGACATGTGCCTTAGAGCAGCTAATGTTATACTTGGCCCCATCTGTCTGAGTGATCCGGACTATTGCAGTAACGTGGGGGGGGGGTTGTTTGCTTTGGGTCTTTTGTTTTTGTTTTGTGTTTTCCTTGGTTGGTTTTTTTTGCAGCCCACTGATTTTTGAGTCACTCCTACTGGTCATTTACCATTTTGCTGTCTTTCAGACCATTGATGGTAGAGTTCAATAGTATACAGCCACAAATGACCAACTTTACAACGTTTGTTCCCCCTTGCAGCTACACATCTCCATCCATTTGGAGGGCAGACACATTCCCTGTAAAGTTCTAATGTCTGCATTGCAAAAATCAGCAACAACAAAAATCTCTAGAAGCACTATACCAGCACCATGTACTCCAGGCTCAGCCTACCTTGAGTAATTTGATTGTAATAGCTTTAAGTAAACTTAACATTTGATACATGTTTCTGTGGGCCTTACCACAAGCAGGCCCCTGATTAAAAAACAGGAGTGTTCTTCTCTGGCTGGGACAAAACCAAGCTTAAGCACACACTTAGCTTCATCCTGTGTCAGAAGAGCCAGTCTCAATGCACACTAAAATACAGGCTTGTTCCTTGTGCTTCCTGGGTACCAGGAAGATGCAAAACGTGCAACAAGGAAGGTGAAGGAGGAGGTTAAACAGCCAAAGCTTTTTTTTACACTCTTGTAAAAACTCAAACCTCTCCCCACATCTTCTTTTCAGTTGTTAAGCACACAAACATGGGATTGCATTCCCATGCCTGGTTGCCCCAGGGGCAGTATACAAATTACAAATAAGCAAATATATGGATTCCTTGACTTCCAAGGGAATTTTGAAGATTAACTACTTAACCCCTAATTACACAGACACTGGCTGGCTAATGAATGAGGTGAGGCAACACCCTCGGCTGGTAAGATTCATAATGAAAAAAAAGGTGGGTTATTTCATCCCAGCAGGGAGAAGGGCTCATGGATCTGGCATCCCAGATTTTCCATTTGGGACAGAGTCCCACAGTCTGTATCTATGGGAATGTCTGAACTTCCACATTTTACTGTAGCATCACTGTACGAGGAGGTGTGAAGTCCAGTGGCTTTGCTCACTGTAAACAATGGGTCCAGGCACTCTCCTGGGACAGGAAATGGGACAGGCACTTCCCCCCACTGTCACAGCTGATGAATGTGAGAACAACCTACCTCCTAGAAGATTTCACTTTAACCGTGAGGGTTCCCTGCATCATCCAAGCAGTTTGCCCATCCTTGACAGACCACACACCAGAGAGGGAGAAGGTGGCACACTCCAGGCTGCTTGGGTTTGGTGTTTCTGATTGGAGGCAGAGATGTGGTTATAGGGCGAGGCAGTAGTCACTGTTGCTGGGAAACACCAGCCTTTGCAATGTACTACTGGATATGAAATTTTAGTAACTTTAACTTCTGTCCCCTGACTAGGACCAGGCAGTACAGAGGAGTGTCTTACGAGTACTTCCAAAATATCAACATCCTGCATGCTCTGCAACCCAAGGAATGGCTGTGGGCTGTGGTGAGAGATCCATGAAGATTTTTAGCGCAAAGAGTCTAAATGCCAAGAACAGCTTCAGAGACACAAGCTGCTGTAGTGTTGTGCTCAAGACAGCAAGAGAGGAGAGGATAAACACAGCATCCATGACTACTGCATGTGGCACTTGCCCTGTGATCCACGAAGTAAAATAGCAAATACATTCCTTTGGTCATATCAACCTTCACTTTACTTTTGGGAATACAGGCTTACTCAGAAATCTGATACAGAGGAGCCAGACCATGCTAGAGCCACAGCACCTCCCCCTAGAATTCAGTTATATGGGTGATAAATTCTGCTCTCACTGACTTTTTAGACAGCAGCAGGACTTGGGGACCCACCATTTGTGTACTTGCCCCCACAGAGGTCCTTAGCCTGGCTTGCTGAAAAAAAATACAGTGTTTATGGAGTGTATTCAATGGTTGAGCCACTTCTCCACTGCAAAAAACAATGGCAATAGTTCTTTCATTCTTCCTTTTTCCTGCTTTCTTTTTGTTTTGACTCCTTCCCCTTTCTGTCTCCCTCTGCTTCAGCTTGACAAGGCTTTCATTTCTTTACCCCATGTCTGTCTTCCATACCATCTTCCTGAATGATCTACACCAGTAGCACTGGACACTTCTGTCCCCCTGACTGATGGGCTTCATCCTCCTCACAAAAGCATCTCCCAGTAGTATTAGGCCTGCAGAGAAAAGCAGACATCTCCTGACTACCATTAGATCTTTATTGGTCCTACAGGAGGGGCCTGTTTATAGCCTGGAGCTTGCAAAGACTTATGGAATTCGAAATGCCTTCTCCTTCCATTTTGAGGGCAGGCAGCTGAAGAGACCAGGAATCCTGCCTCCCCTCACAAATATCTTGGCATTCCAGATACTGGCCTTACCTTTAGATCCTGCAGCTCAGCAAATGTGCTATCATATATCCCAGAGTTCACCCAGCCGGTGCAACCCGAGAGGCCACCTATATGGGAGGGGGTGATTAAAGTCTAGGAATGGATGGGAGGTGATTTCCACACAGCCGGGATATATTTTTGGAAGGGCAAGGCAAAGTCAGAAAGGCTTACTAAACTCTTTGATCCTTTAAGCTCCTGGTTACCAAATAACCACCAGTATCCTTTCCATAAAATAAACCCATTTATTCTTAGCTACATGAATTCCCATCCCCACTTCTGCAACACTAGCATCTACTCCTAAGCTGCATCTTTCCTCCCAGCTACCCCATCATCCCTCAACAGTTCCAGTAACCCATTCCCCAGATGCTCTCCTTTTCCTGATTGGGAATATATCATGCATCTTGCTTGCTGCACCCTTCCCTCACCCTCCACAGCACTCCAATCATTTGACATGAACAACCGATAGGCCACACTTTGAGAACTGCCACTTCTAAGCCCTCCACAAAAAAACAACAACAACAACAAAAGGTAATAAAATCTACTTAACTCATGGATTTCTCATAGCTCCTCTCATTCCCCTGACAGCTGTACAGTTGTTATATTCACATCTGCTGCTGCTAACTAGCCTCATTTTTAGCAAAGCACAGCAGGTGCTACAGAAATCTAAGTCTGGTAACATCATAACACCAGAAGTGTTCCCCCACTTTCATTAACTCCATGCTCTTTTTTTTTATTTTCTCTATTTGTTTTTCCCTCTCCTCCTTTCTGTTTTGCTGGCATGGTCAACTGTTCCACTGGGTCAGCAGCAAACAGGAGCTGCTGGAGTGCAGGAGCAGCTCAGCTGGTAGGTCACATCCCCTCATTGCTGCCCACTGGGCAGAGAGTGGAGGTGGCAGGCACTGGGTGCCTTAGAATAGCACCAGCAAATACCAGCCCCCTAAAGGGATGCCACACAGGATGTCCATGGGAAAACAGTGGCCAGGAGCACGACTTCAGAAGGGCACGACTTCATAAGGACATTGATAATTCACACCAATCTGTAGCACGTGGATCCACCTGAAAATGGGACTTACCACCTTGCTGTCTTTCCCGGTCTAAGTACTTAATGCAGGGAGAGGGGGTTATCATAAAGCACTCCAGGAAAAGAAAAAAACAAACAAACAAACAAACAAACACACACACACAAAAGGCAAAAAAAAATAGTAAGTCAAAACAGTGGTGATGTGGCCCAGTAGGTCACTAATTAGGATATTTCACTAGAATGTGGGAAAGAAATAAGAAAAAAGTCAAGTTCAACACTTTCTCTGTTTGACCTCAAGTGTCTGGGGCAAATAGCTCTCCCCTTCAGGATGGAGCAGACTCTAGAACACAATTCACTCAAACCCAACAAGGAAGTTCTTTAAAATTTCAAAGAACAATAACCAGACTGCTAGATAAAGCATGAATGTAAAGTCTTCATCTTCCATGGGCAGATTACTAAAGGGACATAATGGAAGCACAGTCCTACTGTCTACCACCCCAACAGCTTAGCCTACCATTACATACATTTTATTTCCCATGCTCTGCTGATCCACGGAGCAAACTTCAATATCAGAGCTGCTGCCATCTCTACAAACAGTGGATTTCAGAGATTAGGGGGCTAGGTGCTGTTTCCCATCCTCCAAGAAAAGGAGGAAGTTAAATCTGGTCATTTACCTCCCTGTCTTAGATCCTGGCTACATCACTTAACCTTCTCCAGCAGCCCTTGTGCACCAATTGATCTCTCATGTCTTCTCTGAAAACCTGCAGGAGATCAGACCCTGACAGAGGGATAGGCAAAGGGACAGTTTGCTCACAGATCCCAGTGGACTGAAGCAAGAACTAGATACCAAGCCCCTCAGGCTGTTACCAAAGGCAGATTTTGGGAACATTTACTGACAGATACCACAGAGTTCCAAGGTGAGGTGGCATCAGCAGTGCTGGGAACCTAAGCCCTGGTCTCAAAGAGCTAACTGGTACACAAACACCTTAATATTCCCTTGCCTAACTCCTAGGTGGGCAGACAAACAGTATTCATGTCATACATAAGGGGGATTAGGTATTCACTGTCTTCAAGGTATTGTGCTCCTGATCCTGCCTAGTATGAACAGGGTCAAGGAAAAAAAAAACAAAACCAAAAAAGTTGAAGTGCTGGAAAGTAAAATTTGAAGGCTTGGAAAGAGGCATAAAGGGGACAGTGGTTAAACACCACTCAAGAAGATGGCAAGTGGGAGGGGTAGCAGATAGTTGTGAGATGGGGACACACAGAGTCCCTATGGAGAAATTTAGGCCTGATGGCACAGCCACAGAAGGAATATGAAGGTAAAGAGTAAGGCAACAGGAGCTGGGAAGCAGGAGGCTGGGGACTGCAAGCAGCAGTGCACTAACTGAGGAAAACTGAGCTTTCCAATCAGAGAGCGTAGGCAAAAAGTCAGGTCTTAGAGGCAAAAATGGTGAGATTTTACAGGTCCATAAGCAAGACAGAGCTTGGATACAGCAAAATGTGTGGTAATCTGAATGTCACTGTCAAGGAGAACAGCAGAAGTGCTGGGAGTGAGGGAGAGGGGTGGTCTTGGGAAAAGGCCTGGGTTTCCCACACAGAGTTCCGGATGTTGGTAGGGGATGATGGAAGACTGGAGAAATGGGGAGACACTGAAACAAAGAGATGGTAGTACAAGATGTTGGACAGAAACAAAAGAAAGCAGAAGAGGAGAACAGTTCAAAAGCACAGGAAAGACCAAAAAAAGTGGTGGGTAAAAAGTAAGAGACTCCTAAAGGTGGCTGGGGCAACACTATATATTCCTGTGAGAACAGCTTTTGGATTATGATGTTGAAAATAAACTTTGAGGTATCCCAGCAAGTACTGGAGAGTAAGAACTTGGCAAAGATAATGTGATTCAGGGAGTGCAGAAGGAATTTATTTCATTCTGCAAGTTTGCAGCGTGTAGAAGTGATTTCAGGGGTGATTGCAAGGCTGGTGTTATATAAGAGATACAGGATAATAACATTCAATGAATAACATAGTACTGACTAGAGCTGTGGCCCAGGAAAAAAGAATATGCTGAGAGCTGCATGAGCCTATTTTCTGAATAAGATGTAAAAGGAAAACAGCGAGTCGGATTGAAACTTTTCATTGATTTCACTGCACGTTTCTGTTGTTGACTATAAATCCTTCCTCTAAAGAAGTCCCTTGTTTCACCTTTAGGACCAGTGAAGTCAAATCTTCAGCCATGGAAAAAAAGTGCAGGACTTTGACCCCAGGTTCTTTGATAAAAAAAATCTAGAAGTTTTTCTCCAGCAAGGAATTTTAGCATCATCGATTTTCTCTCTAATTCAGGAAGATGGACATTAAGTCTAAGATCCTTTAAAAAAAAAAAAAAATTCTTAAACATCCAAATTTCTCACTCAGACGGAAAATTCTTCTTTCCAGCCAATTCCATGTCAGGTCTCCTTATTCTCCTGTACACCAGTTTGGCACCAGCTACAGTTTCCAAAAATTACATACCTGCTCAATTGTTGCTTATTGTTTTATATTCAGGGATCCTTAGAGTTCAAACCCATAAAGAGGACTCTTCCAAGTGTTTCTCTGCAAGCTGCTTGCCTATTAAAAAAAAAAATAAAAAATTAAAAATAGCTTTAAAAACTGCCACGGGCCTACAGGTAGGTAAAAGTTACATGTTGAAAAATAATAGCCTTTTTTAAAGATAATTAAGGTTGGTGCTTAAGAAACAAGACAGAGATATAAGTTATTACTGGGGAAAAAAAAGAAGACAACAAAAAAACCTGTGGATTCCTTCCCATTACCTTACCTCTGTTGTTTATGGCTCTGGGAACTAACATCCTGCAAGCACTTCACGTGGCTTAGGTAGGGAAAAGCCCCATTCCAACGCAGAACTCACGTGCTGCCGTGCCGGTCACGCCGACACACCCGGTGTTCCACGCACCGTGGAGATCATCCCGCCCTCGCCTCGCCCCGGCTTGGGGCTGGTCCTTTGTTACCTCGCTCTGGACCCGAGTCCCACGCTGGCCTCTGCCTGCAGGAGGCTCAGCCCCCCGTGCTCTGCAGCAGTTTTTCTGCGGAGCTGCCCGGGGAGATTACGGCGGCGATGGCATTTTATCGGCGCCGCTGCCGCGAGGTGAGCGCGGACACGATAAGGGAGCGCTAAAAAGTCAACGAGGTGCCGCTGACAAGGGCCGAAGCCGGGCCCTCGCGTCCCCACCGACCGCGTGTCCGTGACAATGAGCAGCCCAGACACCTTCCCACCAGCTGCTGCCCTGGAAGGCAGCACCTCTCACCCTCTCTCGGCAAGGCACAGCCTCCCGTCTGCACAGCCCAGCTCACCTCCGCTGGAAGCTGCCGCAGCTTCAGGCCTGCGGGGAACAAATTTTTTCTTATGGAAACCCCCCGGGTTCCCTAGTGAGCACTAAAGAGATTTTTTGCTGCTCAAACACGCTGATGGAGGTGTACCCTGGTTGTTTCGTTCCTCCCCACCGTTCCCTCCCAGAGAGGAAAGATCTGCTGCCTGAAGTGATGGCTTTTCCAGGCAAGCATCTGCACATGCTGCCTGGAGCAGAGCAGAGCCCCCAGCAGCATGCCAGGCATACACCCCACAGAGATTGGCCCCCTGCAAAAGGCAAGCCCCAAGGCTTGGGAAACCTGCTGTGACTAACAGCTTGATTAGGACTTCAGTCTTCTTTACCTTCACCGAGTTTTCAGAGGAAGGTGAAGAAGCTGGTAAGAAATTTGTTTCTTTTGTGCAGCCACAGTACCCGAGCTGGAACCACAGAAGCAGTGCAGCCTGAGCCACATCACAGGGCAGTACATGCTGTTAGAGCCAAAACATCCTGGCTCCATCCTTGCCATTGGTGATCACTAACTCCACATGGCAACAGCAGAGATAGCCCAAGTGGCCACAGGCTGACCAGAGTGTTTCAAAACAACCTGAAACTCAGGAACCTCCTCCACAACCTCCATCACAAGGATCCACACATACCAAGGATGCTCCCACTGCCTGGGCTTCCTCAGCTGAGGCCTGGTGGCTCCAGCAACACTGCTCTGGAAAGCCAGAGCACTCCTAACAAGCTCTGACACATAACAACTCCCCACAACCATTACAGTGAGCTAAAGGACTCCTTTATATTCCCGTGGGGCAGGTGTGGTTGTCTTAATTGTGCTCTTTCCCAGCTGATGCCAATGAAGTCCTTACCAGCAGCCTCAGCACAGAAGCCCAGGTCTGAAAGAGATGCTCAGTTCACCTCCAGGGAGTCCCTGGCTGTGTGAGGTTGTGTCCAACCAGGAAAGCTGCATCTTGCCAGTCCTCTGGCACCCTGAATTTACACTCATAGAGAGAGAAGAGTCACTTCTTGGTGTGTGCTTGCTGAAAAACACCTCCTGAGGTATCCATGACTACTGTTTCTGAGCCTTCATAAAGGCACGGGGCAAAGAGAGCCTGTCCCAGTTCCTTGAGATCTGATACAAAAACACACCCCACCAATGCACCTTGCAAGCAGTAGGCAGCACAGGCAGAGCCTCCTGCTTGCTCCTGGGAGAGCTGGCACGTAGGATTTAGGGGGGAGATCTCGGTGTTAGGGCCAGGCCAGCCCTCCCCGTGCCGTGCTGTGCTTGCTTTGGCAGGCACTGCTTCCTGTGCTGTGCAAAACACATCTGAGGCTCCCAGGAGACTAAAACACTCAGGGATGTCATTAAAGGGAGATGTTTCTTTCCCAGAAGAAAGAGATTTCCAATACAGGAACTCTGTCTAAGGACACTTGGATGTGGATGTTGCGCTGTTTATACTCACACAGTGGGAAGAGCCTTTGACAGTGTGTGTTATGTGCATTGCTGTAGGGATGTCTGAAAGCAATAGTCAGAGGTTATGCTCAAATATCTTGTATTTCATCTGAAATGACTTCTCCATTGTCTGTAATTTCTATTTCTCCCTCCACCCTCACCCCTCAGGACAAAGGCTTTGTCCGAAGACAGGAATGTCCCTCTGCCAAGTACCACGCTGAGAACCTTGGGGGTCTGTCCTGCTTTGGATTCTTTTCTGTTATATTACTTTTTAAACACAGCCCTGCCCCCAGTCAGGGAAAAAAATGCAATCCCTGAACCAAAAGGTGCTGAAGAACAAATGGGCAGGAGGAGCCCACAGAGGTGGGCCAGATGTGTATCATGAGGGCCTTCATGCCAGCACATCCTTGGTGGCTCTGAACAGCCACAGATGCTCTAACCTACAAGAGAAGGCAGCTCAGCTGCCAGGTTCTCCTGGTGCCCTCCCTGCAGGGCACACAACTGCTGGGCCCTCCATCCTCCCCAACTCCAGACATGAGCAGGCCTGTAGGAGTGAGGGGAGCATCCTCCACCTGTGATCCTGCCACCAGCTGGCCTTGTTCCTTTGCCTTATGGTGCTCCACAGCCTGTGAAAAGAGCCTTTGCTGAGCAGACTTTCTCCTTCTCTTTGCCACTAGAAACGCAGAATTCTTCCAGAACTTCAGCACTTCTGGAAAGGTAAAGAACAAAAAAATCTCCTCATGCTGGCACCTGACAGGCACCCCTGGTTGCTGATTCCTCTGTGGCACCAGTCCTCCAGCATTTTAGTCGAGAGCCTAGCAAGTTCCTCACGGACCTAACAAGTACTCCATGGACAGCCATTCAGTGTGTGCTCCCAGCCCCAGGCAAGACCAGCACACTCACCAGTCTGGCAGGCTTCCCCTCCAGCACTTTCACAAGTGCTTGCCTACCTTGTTTGAGCTTCAGAGAGTTCAGTTTGGGGTGAAGGGTAGGTCAGCTCTTATCTCGTATCTACACTCGCAAATGTAACCCTCACCAATTCCCTTCCCAGCTCCAAGAGTTCCTGCCCGGTGGCACAGTGAGGACCATGCTTTCCCCCTCTGCTGAGGCCTTTCAGCAGGAGACAAGCAGTGCCAAACAGCCATAAAGATTTCCTAGGGACCCTGCAGCCTTGAAGAAAATCCTGGGGATGTCTCTGACCTTTCTGCTCTGCAGCCTTTGGTGCAGGGCTGATGGTTATGTGAAGGAGCAAAGCCACAGTTGCCCCTGCCTTGGTCTAGGCTGTTGAGAGCAACCCTGGGGTGATGCTCAGGGATGACAGGAGCTGAATGAAAACCCCAAACAGAATTCTGCAAGGATCTCACAATCCCCATGAGATTCAGAGATTTCAGAAAGCCCCTCTGGCCCCATTCTCCTTCTGGAAAATGCTTCTAATGCAGCTGAGGTGGATCCAAGAGCTTGAGCTACAGGATCTTACAGTTTGTTTAAGCAAATATCACTTCTGTCAATTTTCCAAATATCTGTTCATGCACAGACTGTCTCAGCATCCTGCCAGGGCTCCAAACGCTCAGCTATGGAGAAATTTTCCGGAAACCTGTGCCTGCATCCCTGCCTTGCCTTCTGACCATTTTAAGACCAATCACATAAACAGAAGCCCACGTGGAAATGTAGTTGTGAAAGGTTGCATTCTCTAAAGCCTTGCAGATGTATGTGACTTAGGGAGCCCTGCTCAGACCACCAGTCACCTTGTTCTAACCACAGCACATCACACTGGGCTCCAAGTCCAAACTAGCAAGCCATATCTATATCCCTCACTGCTGGAGACTACCATGGGACAAAGACACCAAAGCTGAGTGGGGGTGGGTGGGAAGGGAATGGTGGAGCAGGCAGAGACAGTTGGTCCCGTGTGTTTTCTTTCCTTAAAGATAAAAACTTACCCCAGTCAAATGAAAAATCAGGAACAATGCAGGAATTTTAAAGAGCCACCTGACTCAGCGTCTAGGCAGGATATCGATTAGAGAGGCCATTCTTTATTCCTCTGCTATTGTTTGAGACCAGCCTCCCTCATGACAGCAACAGGCGTGGGAACACAGCAGCTTTGGTGTTAAAAAGTGCTTTTATCTCTGAGTGGAGCAGAGGGGTCTCTGGGAACCAGAGATGGTTGTGTCTGATAGTCAAGGGAATGCATTCAAACTGAGAACCTTTTCTGGGGTCTCTGAGGTCCTGCTAGCAACTCTGAAGCACACCAACACAATGCAGCACATGCCCAGTCCAGCATTCCTACTGAGCTGTACTCAGGTGAGTTCAGAGAGGTGCAGAAAGAAAACATTTCTGCCTGCTAAAAATTCTTAGATTTCTTGAGCTCCAGTAGCTGCTGTGATGGCTGTTCCTACAGACATTCCCACCTTGGTTTTAAACAAGCCAGACTGTGTTCTGCAAACCATGTGGCACAGCACAGAGAACAGGCTCACCACCCCTGTCCTTCTCTCTCCTCTTGAGGTTTTTTACCCAGGCTGGGCTCCAGCCTGCAGCAGCTACCACAATGATGTCAGTAGGTGAGGGCATCTCCTTCATATTCAACAACACCAAACAACTGTAGGGTGTTACACTTCAGTGCCACTTAAACTATCCAGGTGCCTGCAGCCTCTCAACAAGCCAACACAAGTCTCTACCAAGAGAACTGACAGACAGTCACACAGCTACCTGGAAGCTTCAGGCAGGAATAGAGAAAATCTTTGGTTTCTTGGTCATTCTCAGTGTATTAAAAACCAACACGCTTCAGTACCTGAACACTTCTGATTTGACTGAGTAGAGGGCAAACAGTGACCAAGAACCAGATTTTCAGCCAGCCAAAATATTCCTGGCTGCCCTCAGGGCTGTACAGCGGGCTCCTGATTTTATATTCTCTGAAGGTTTGCAACAAAATCTCATATGTAACCACCTTATATATGCATATGGCACTCTTTGTTTCCACCTACCCTTAAGATAAAATAAAAAAATGGAAGTCCTTCAGGTACTGGCTGGACAAACACCACCACATGAATTCACTTCAAAGACACCCCAAATGAAAGAGCACAGTGCACTGGAGA